CTGTTTCTATGACAACTAGTGTGGCTACTGGGATTAAAGCTGTGTGTCCCCACTGCCTGGTCTGTAAGGCTGATCAGTGTGGCTGTTTAACTCTCTGAACTTCAGGCAAGCTTTATTTATTAAAAAACAAATGAAATATCACCACACTGGAGAGCATGTTTGCAAGGAGGCATAAAAGAGTCTCTGAACACGGCTTGTATGGGTTGGGAAGAACCTTACACAGAACACATGGTTGCTGTCCCTAGACTTTGAGATGGTCTCCTGGGGCCGTGACGAGTAAAGACACACGAGAAGAGGCACAGCTGACTTTTAAGCCAAGCGCTACTATACTTTCACTGCTTTATTAACTGAGAAAGGAGTGAGAGGAGAAACATGGCCCTGCATTCAAATCCAGTTCCATCCTACACCCTTGGCAGTGAGCATGTTATTAGTGGTCAACTGTAGACAACACTTTCATCTTTGGGATATAAGAAATGAAGGTGGGATGAGCCAGGCAGGTTTCAGACATGGGGGAAATACTCGTTGTCATAGAGACAAGAGTGTTACCGTGGGAATATGGACTAGACCTTTAGAACACTCCTCGGCCCCTTTCACACAGGCAGCCACTGACTTCACCCCGGCATCAGGCCAGCACTGGCTGAAGAGAGGATCAAGTCATTCATATGTCTATTTTCAGGGCATTTAAATTAAATTTTGTCTATCCTCAAGGAAATCAAGGCAACCATGCTGATAATTATAAAGAGGAAACTCTTACTTCCAAATAAAAACAGATTTACTTGTTATAAAGTATTAAAAAAAAAGACATCTTTTACAAAGATGTGGTCATATGTTCGTGAAGGGCGAACATGTGTCCTACATGTTTCAAAGGATAATGATAAAAACACATTACTGCAAACAGAGAGTAGGGTGTACATCTACACGCTATGTCATTTGATCACCACAGTAGGGATGCAGCTTGCCAATGACATGTGGCCAGCCCAGTTTCTCATGACCATTAAGTGACAAGGCCCAGCTGCATAGTACGAGACCTCGATTCACAAGATGTAGAAACCCCCAGAAATTGACAATACCACTGAGAGCTCTGGGTCGAAACTCCCCTATAAAGAATTCCCCAGCTATTTCTTGACTTGTTATAAGGCAAGCCATTCAGCAATATGATACAGATAAATATTTCCTTTTCAAAACATTGCACAAAGGCATGATTTCCTCCCTCTTTCCACCCTTTGGGAGAAATAGGAAAGCAGGAAAGTAATAGGGATTTAGCTCCAAGCAATAGAAGCCTTGCTATGCTTTTGGTGATGACTAAAGAGAGTCCCTGGTTACTAGGGAGACCACAACAGACTCCATCAGATTCAAGTACAAAACTTAGGTTGCCTGGCGAGTGAATGCCAAGAAAAGCAAAGGAAAATATTATCATTGTTGAAATCATCTGATGTCCCTGACTAACAAAACACATTGGCAAACTGAATTTTTCAAACTGCCCAAAGGGCTTCGCTAAATCTATGAATTAGTAACACACGGCCGTTCTGTCTGGAGATGGAGGAAGAAAGACGAGGATGTTAAACTATTCTAAATACTGTCGAAATTAACCAAAACCTTACCATAGAAACCTAGACAACCAATCTAGATTTTTTTTTTTGGTGGTTGTTATGGTTCAATTTTTATTGTAAATTTAACTTCCCCTAACCTTTGCTTCTGCAGCTAAATAACAAAATTAATGTTTTGGGTCACATCATCCTCACACTCTAAAAGAAGCGCAGGCCTTCTTAACCAGTTTCTCACAAATAACAAGAATCGTCTTTAAAATGTCCCTGGCGACTCTAAAAGCTCCCCAGGCTTCAGAGGCTGGGCTCTTCATATCTGCCCTGTGCCCTTTCTGTGAGTAGGAGGGGCCAGAGAGGGAAAGAACTGGGGGGTGAGCCAAACCCAGAAATACCTCTTGACCCAGCTTCCAGAGTTACGGCGGGCTTGCCTGGGGATGTTCCTCCTGCCTCTACTTGATCATTCCCAGGGCGCCAGGTCCTCGCCAGGACCCATCCTATCTTATTATAGAGGCAGTTCTGATTGTTGGGGAGTGTTTTCTCATGTCCTGCCAAGACCTGCCTCCTCATGTTTTCTCCCCATTGTTCTTCATGGTATCTCTAGAACAGCACGGTTTGACTCAACTTCCTCTCCCCTCCAATAGTCCCTCCGATAGCTGGAGTCAACTGTCATGACTGCCCTTGGATACCGCTGTCTCCAAACAAAACAGCCTCAACTTCCCTATTAGGTCATAAGGCAAGCAGACAAATGTTATAATAATATGAAAAGGTTGACACGTAACTCCAGAAGAGGAAAACAATATCGTCTTAAAGTTGTATATTGTTAAAGTAAAATATTTTGAATGAATAGTTGAGGGGTTGGGGGCAGAGCTTAGAGGTGGATGCATTCTTAGTGCATTCAAGGATCTGAATTCAAACACCAAGAAATGAAACTAAAACCAAAGGAGAGGGGGGAAGGTTGGAAGTCTGAGTCGCTATTGAGAGGCACTTTGTCTATACCTTGGGTTCCTGCATTCTGCAGCCTTGTCAAAATACCAGTGTGACTTTTCTAACAGAGGAATATCATGTCAGTTCCTGTTATAGTTCACCAACTCTCACAGGTTGCCTTTGTTTATGATTTTTGTTTACCTATGAGCAATGCCTACTTTAAGAAGAGTTTCTAGAAAAATACTTACCTTTAAACAGTTTTAACGTGGCTTAAGAAAGTGAATATAGACGATTAAGAATTTTCAGTGTTCACACATCTATAAAGGAAGTAAGATCTCGAGTTTGAAGCCATCCCGGGATACACAACAAAGCCTTGTTTCAAAAAAAGGGAAAGTTTAAAAAAAAAAAGCATCACGAGGAAAGTAAATTCTCAATTCTTAATTCATCCTCGATATCTTTATTAACTCCAAGCATGCAGAGGGACTGGAGCCTTGTCGCAGTGAATAAATCCAGAGCTCTCGCTCGGCCCCTCGGTGTGTCTCCTGTTGTTTCTCTCCCAGTTCATCACTCGTTCTGCTGTTCTGCGCATGTCAGTGTGGCTGGCCCCGTCGGCCCATCTTGTCCTGGGTGCTTTGCCACGCCCCTCTTTATTAGTGTTTCTTCTTCTTTTCCATCGTTTCTCTTCTTTTCCCCTCTTGTTGGACATCTCTTCGTCATCCGCACTTCTTCAGTGTTCGTGTCCATTTTCTTCTGTCTCCAGCGTTCTAAGCTGTAAAGGCATGGTGAAAACCCAAGTGGGGATACTCTTGAGATAGCAACAGGGAAAGGAGCCAAAACCCAGCGCCCCCGCCCCCAGACGCCATTGCTGCGGGCTTGGGGTGGACAAGGTCTTTAGGAACGAACTGGCTCAAGCTAGCTCCTGAGAGGAGATAGCAAATCTGCCTGACAATTTAACAACTGTGAGCACGTTTCCTGACACTCTCCCTGCTCAGCGCAGTCTCTTCGGGAACCAATCAGTTTCCCAAGGTGAATCATGAATGGTTTTAGTGACTGGACACTCAGAAGAAAGGGAGAAACTACAGGGCTGGACTGGTCTTGATTTCAGCAGCCAGCCCAGTGCAGTTCCTGATATCTAGGGAGTGTGTCGTAATGAGATGAGGAAGGCTGCTGTGAAGTCAGCGTGCCTGGGCCATGGACCACCAAGGGCAAGCCCTGCCATATGCCAGCTCTCCGATTCCCTGGAGAAAGGCCCCTTTGCTACCTACTATTCCTTTGAGTTGTTCTTTGGCTTTTAGCCATCGTGATGCTGTTAGTTAAGATTTTGTGGTGTTCGCATCGTGTGTTAAGTCTCAAAAGCAGTCCCTCTCTGTTTTTGATTTCTCTAGTGATGGTCTCCTGTAGCTCCACCCCAGCTTTGATCTCTGCTGTGTAGCTAAGAATAACCTTGACCCTGTTGCTGCTCCTCCCTTCATTTCCCAGGGATTGCTGGGGTTGCAGGCATGGGGGACCGTGCCAAGCTTGGCAATCTACTCTTGATTTTGCTTTTTCATGCTAGCTAGGGAACCCTTGCATTCATGTGTCTGCTTTCCCACTGAGCTGCATCCCTTACCTCGTCACCCATCTTTAGAACCTGAAAGCTGTGTCTCTCTAACCCTGTGTTCCACTAGCTGAGCTCACTGGCTTTTTACACCAAGAGACTGACTCCCTGGCGCCTGAGTGCACACCCTTCAGAGGCCAGACAAGAGTAGGTTTTTTCCTGGTGAGCATTCCTTTCCATATCTCAAGATTTGTGTCTGACAAGAACTGTTTTTTGTTCATTCTCTGGGCTTCTTAATTATCAGCCACAAAGACTTGGCAAGGGGAGCTCTCCAGGGGGAAGGCAGCTACCCAAAAGCAACACGAACGTGCGAAAACGGCACTTGTTCTAACAAACTGCCTCCAACTCTGCAGATGAGGCTGCTTCTGACAAATCAAATCCACCTTGAGATCCATAAAGGCTCCTTGTGAATCCTTCCATTGTGTAAATACTTCCCAGTAGAGTTCCCAGGAAGATGTAGACCTGACCATGTTCCCTCTATACACGCCACAATAAGTATCTGCAAACGTCTACATTTCTGCTCTTCCTGGTAGCCACATGCATTCCAGAGTTTCTTTGAATGCAGATAAAATTCAAGTGTCAGAGGAGAGAAGACTCCTAATGAGGGCTCTGATCCTCTCTCATGAATCTGCTTACAGGTTGGGATAGACACCTGATACTCAGAGGCATTAGCATCCTGGTAGTAAATGCTAAATGACAAATAGCGTTTTTTTCTAATTCAAGGCATCCAAACCACAGGTGGGTTATAGATCCAGATGAACCCCTCCCTCTCCAGAAAGTAAAGAGAGCTGTTGATGGAGAAAGTGGGCTCAGATGAAGGGTTTCCACTAATCAGGACTTAAGAAGCAATGCTTACCCAGCCGCCATTAATTCCTTTTATTTCTTTGATGCATCTGCCATCTCCAGTGACAGAAAATTCTTATTTTTTTTCTAAGAAACTAAAGCACAAAAAGGCAGTGAAAAAGCTACAGACTGACTTGGCAATAGCTAAGCAAGAGGCTGCCATTACTGTCCTGGAACTCAATGAGAAGATAAAGTCACTCTGTGAAGGAAGGCCTTGCCCTAGAGGTCAGTATCATTACCCCGTGACAAGCGCACATTGGCTCCTCTTTCTGGGTGATGCATGCACATTGAATGGCAGCAAAACCAAATGCTAGGTCCTGTGCCTGGTAGCGTCCTGGCCTAGATGCTGGTCTGGCTCAGTTGGACAACACATGAGCCCAGGATTTGTGAACTCCAGGCAGGATTTCCTTTGCCCTTTTGACAGAGCTAATGAATCAGTGAATCAGCGGTTACAGAGGGGATGTCTCTGTATGTGGAGAGCTGGGCTGACAAGCATCTGAGAAATGTCACTGGCTAAACTGGGTGGCAGAAAGGGAAGGGCAGAGCATGAGAAAGACAGAGCACTTCAAGGCTTTGGATTCTAGAGTAGGACTAGCAGTGCTGGTAGGCCAAGAGGGCACAAGGAATGAAGACATTCTTTTCTTGTCAGCCGATGAATAAAGCCAGAAACAACAGGGAATGGTACTTGGGAATGAAATCTTGGGTAATTTGGAACAGTCTTAACAGCTATATAGATGTGTGGGCGCATGTATATGTACAGGTTCATTTGACAGCGAAGGGTTGATATCAAGAGCTTTTCTCTATTGCTTCCCTCCTTTTTTTTTGTGAGACAGGGTCTCTCACTGAAACTAAAGTCAGTTTCAGCTATGCTGAGTGGCCGAGCAAGTTGGAGGGGTTATAGACATGTGTCACTTGGCTCAGCTTTTTATGTGGGTGGTAAGGCTCCAAATTCAGGTCCTTCTACATTCACTGGTAAAGGGTTTTGTGGTGGTGATATCTGAAATGGGGGGAGTCTCATTACAAAGCCCAAGTTAGCTTTGAACTTTTGAGCCTTTAGATGCTATGAAGGAGGCCTGGACGACCATTCTTGGCTTTACATTGATTTAGAAAAAAAAAATAGAACTACAGAAGCTATAAACACACCAGAGGGGGAGAAACAAAATAAAACCCCTCAAGTTGTCTTCACTGGCAATAATTCAAGGTAATATTCAGTAGTATGTGCTAAGCTGTTTACCAAGAATTCAATGTATGTTTCTTCTCAGAGCAATGGTCAAGTGTATACCTAGACTCCAGTAGAGCAAAAGAAGGTCAGAGATGGTGACTAACTCAGCCCTGGGTTAGAAAGGAGCAAGCAGTCTTGGGGAGGTAGCATGGTTTACTAAAGCAGGTGCACTTCTTGGCTTTGACAGACCAAGAACATTTTCTCACTGGTATACAGCTGCTCATCCCTGACCCTGGATCTCAGGCTAAGCTCTGGTCCCCAGGGGTCTTTATTTGCTGTGTGCTCTCCCTGCCAGGCCAGGAGCATGTCATTGCTCTTACTCTGGCTTCCTTTCTTACTCATAATTAATTCTGGAAAAAGAGGAGCAGCTTGGGAACAAATGGAGGAGAAAGCAGTGGGCGACATGGCAGCTTCACAAAAAGGACACTCCCAGCAGCCTGACTGCATGGTAAAGCTTTTGTTATGAATTTGGTTTTCTACATTTTGGTTTTTCCAGACAGGATTTCTCTGTGTCCTGGAACTTGCCTTGTAGACCAGGCTGACCTTGAACTGAGAGACCCTACTACCTCTGCCTCCTGAATGCTGGGATTAAAGGTGTGGACCACTACCGCCTGGCTGGTTTTCAGTTTCAATTCTGAACATCGATTTCCCAGAATGCAACTGATATGTCACAACGTCACCTTGGAACACATGTCAAAGGGCAGCTACTTTCTTTTTCATCAAAAGAGCATAGAAAGAAGTCTTTTAAATTGTCTTTTGACCAACACAAGTTCTTACAAAATCCTTTAGAGAATGTTGTCAGCTTAACAATCTTTACTCGACATTGTCCCAGAGTTCCAATGGTCATGTAGAAGAAGCCATCAGTCATCGTAGAACACGGGAGGAATGGCTCCATCTCACTTGACAAAACCTTGCCACCTTTAAGCTGCTTGGTAAAACCTATTGCCAAAGTGTTACTGTAAGCTGTCTACTTACAAATCTTTCCATTTTGGTTAAAATGGTACTTTGTGCCCTTTAGTAATAAATTGGGTTCTTGGATAGTTTATTTTTAATTATTTGTTTTTAATTAGCATATAAGTTGTTAGACATCATGATGACATTTTCAAACAAAGCACGTTTTTTTTTTTTTAAGAATGTGGGGTCTTTCATGAACTTTGTATATCCTCCTCGTTCAGGGGGCATGCTAATCTTCCATGTACAGTTCCAGTTTTAGTCTGCATGCTTCTGAAGTGAGTGCCTCTTGGATACTCCAATAGGTCAAAATTTTAATAATATTGAAGGGAAGGTAATAAAAGGTAACCCTTTTTATTTGATACACTGATAAAAAATAAATAAAAATTTAGCAGCCATTGTAAGCCTATTGTGGTCGGGCAAGTTGCTTGTCTTATTTGGTGAGGAAACCGAATCACTGAACTGACTCCGATTCTTTTCTTTAGATTGATTTATTGTATTTATGTGAATGTGTGTGAGGCTGTATGAATATATGTACCACATATCTTTGGGAACCTGCAGGTGCCTGATCCCCTGGAACTGGAGTTTTAGGCTGTTGTGAGCTGCCATATGGGTGCTGGGAACCAAACCTGATCAAACCCAGATTCCCTGGAAGCTCAGTAAGTGCTCTTAACCTCTGAGCCACCTCTTCACTCCTTCTTAAGTCAATATTTGCATGTTCTAACTCATCAGTCAGTCCCTACTGTGAAGCCTTACCCTGAACTCCACAGTCTAAGAGAAGAATTGTCAAGTTCATGGTGGTCCCAGACTGATATTACTTGGCATTCCCAAACACCTGGTCACCTTGCCACGCCTCAGAATCTCTTCAACATTGTGTGAAAGGGTATCCAGGAACGCTTAGTACACAATGGCTTATGTGTAAGAAATTAATTCTCTCTCTCTGTCTCTCTCTCTGTCTCTCTGTCTCTCTCTCTGTCTCTCTCTCTCTCACACACACATACACACATACACACACACACACGCACACACACACATTTTTAGACTCACACTACTATGTCCTCCCCAGTTTTCTTGGGGCGTTTTTTGTAAAATGTTTATTTGGGGTTCTCAGACCAAGTGGCAGATACCCAGGGCATAAGAGCTTAAGGAGAAAGGATGATCTGTGATTCTTGGAAACAAACCAAGAAAGAGAAGAGTATCAGCTAAAGAAGTGGAGTCTCGGGTACCCTCAGGGCACCCTTTCTCATTCATCTCTGCTTCTTTCTGCACCCAGTCTTCTCGGTTTTAAGTTAGATGTCAGTAGAGGGTAGAAGCTGACTGTAAGCAGCGGGGAGATGCACTTATCACCTCTGTTAAGTAGAAAGCAAACATTTCCCTAGCAGTTCTAGTTGAGGAGAAGGCTATCTGGCTTCAGTTGGGATACCTATCGCTGATATCCCTGTGTGGCCTGGGCTGCGGGATGATGGATGAATTAGCTTAGCTCAGGCACATTCCACTGGGTGGCAGGGTAGAGGAAAAGCAAGTGGGGAGAGAAAGAGTCCTCTGCCTGGCAGCTGCCCCTGGAAAGCATAGAGCTGGATGTAAGGAGGGGCTATGCCTTACTGGAGTGGAGAAAGACAGCCCAGTGTCAATGCACTATCAGCCAGTGGTCAAGTTAAAATAGAATGAAATACTTACTGAGTCATCGATCCCTGGGACATTTATACTTTAAAAGTAGATTTTTTTAATCAATGAGCAGAAGGCCTTTATGGTCCAAGAAACAACTATCCAATTGTATTTTAGACCCCTTTGGAGATGTAGCAAACAGTTTGGGGAAAGACATCCCCTTCCAGCCTCTGTGAGTGATGGGGTGGCCACCCTCAACAGTGGCCTGCTTTTGATAACAATTCCCACTGAGGGAAGGGAAAGTGTTGGTTGTAACAGTTCATGTCACTGGACTACCACGGCACGACTTCTCAGTTAGAGAAAAACCCATCCTTACAAGTCTAACAGATTAATGGACTATTTCCAAATAAAACAGACATCTCCGCTATCCAAATAACGCCATTTCTCCCTTGTTTGCTTTTTTTTTTTTTTTTTTTTTTTTAAGCAACCAGGTCACCTTTTGGACCTTCTGATCAGGGAATGTCCCAGAATATTAGGAATATCTTAAGCATATTTATGCTTGACTTAAGAGAACAGTGAGATACCAAACTGTTTTTCTTCATACACAGGAGTTCAGCTGAGAATAAAACACCCTTGCTTAGGAGAGAGAGAGAGAGAGAGAGAGAGAGAGAGAGAGAGAGAGAGAAGAGGAGAGGAGAGAGAAACCTAGCCCAGCGGGCTTCTCATAGCCCTAGTATTTGCTGGTTTTATTTTGTGTACATAGTCACAACCCAAAGCAAATTCCTTCTGTCGTTTCCAGAACCTGCTCCTGAAGTGCTTACAGCTTTGTTGTCTGTCAGTAGCACCGGAGTCCCAGTGTGCTAGGTTTTTCAAAGTCTGAGGGAGTCTATTCTTTAAATTGCAGTGTGTGGGAATCAGCCTTCTTCCCTCTTTGCCTTAGGAAGACAGAAGGCTTACTCACTGGTGAAGAAGGTCAGCGTGATGAAAATACCTGACAGGGAAAGTTTTGTTTCAGCTCTGTCTCCAAAGACTCAGCCCCATTTGGTTCCTTGGTTTCTGAGCCTGTGGTGGAAACATCATGGTGGCAGAATCTTGTCTCCACTGCTGTTCACTGGATGGTGGACAGGAAGCAAAGCAAACAAGGGAGTGGCCAGGCCAAGTCAGCCCTCAAAGTCACTCCCAGTGACCTAGGTTTTCGAACCAGGCCCCTCCTCCTACAGTTTCTACTTCCCTCTAAAGGTCTGTTCCACCTGGATTGCAGCAATGGGTTAAACCATTGGTTCAGTTAGCATCCTCATATCTAACACTCCCTAGAAACACGTGTGGGTGTGTGCTTTACCAATTTTCACCCAAGTTACTTTAAAAAACACCTTTCCCACCCAATCCTGTTGTTGATTGGATGTAGTTACTTGATGTCATATAAGGTTTCTCTCTGTAACCAGAACAT